CTCAGAAGCCTGACTACAATTCTCTGTCCTCATCCTTGTATGTGTGTTCCAGCCCTGGTCCTCATTTAGGACTGGACAATGCTGGAATGCAAATGACAGACAAGCTTCCCAGGCTAGATGGGAAACTCAACATCCACAATTGGCAAATGAATATACTTTCTCATCCTTGTTTTATCTGTCCTTTGTAAGGATTTTAGTGATACATTGGGGGCTTCCCATACTCAACCACTGGCTATTGAAAATTGGAAGGTGGCCCAGCAGTGGTGGCACATGCCTTTAATCACAGAACTTGGGAGGTAGAGGCAGGTGCATCTCTGAGTTTGAGGCCAACCTGGTCTACAGAGTGAGTTCTACGACAGCCAGAACTATGCAGGGAAACCCTGTCCCCCACCAAAAAACTGGAATGCATTCTCACCACAGTTTTGCTGTGTAGTATATGTTGACTTTTGCATCCTAAATTTTTTAAAAAAAGTTGTAGGAAACTGGGGAGTTAGACAGGCCTGACTGACATGCTCCTTCTACTGAAAATATACTTAGACAAGAAACTCTGCATTCTCCCAGCAACCAGGAGGATCCACCAGAACCTGCTTTGTCCATGTTGTGTATGCAAGGGGAAGGGGTACTTAGTCACAGTGTTTTAGAAATATTGATAGAGACCCAAAAATGTGGTTTACACAGAAGTCAACAGTTACTTGGTAAGACCAAAGCAAGTTTATAAGGGGAACAGCAGATAGTGGGCCTAGAAAGACCATAGTGACCTGTGTTAAGTAACATGACTATATTCTAAGGGCTTTGGAAAGATGCTGATTGGTTTAAGGGTTCAGAGTGGTGCAGAAGACAAGAAATATTCTGGGAGGTGTGTATGACCAAGATCTCTCCTAGGGGTTCTTGGGCCCTTACCAGGGCTGATTCATTCCCTCATCTTCCTGACTACAAGTAATTGGCCTAACATCCATAATCCCTACACCTAAAACCTTAAAGAATATTCGAACACCTGTTACTGACTTGTGAAGGGCTTGTCAGAAAACAAATGATAAATTGGGTTGTGTTTGTTTTGTTTTTTGCTATGCCTTCTCCCTTGCCTTTTCTATCTTTCACAGAAGATTTGGTAGTTACTTTTCTTGTCTCTGTGACCAGATACCTGACAAAAATAATCAGTATATTAATGGAGGGAGGGTTTATTGTGCCTTATAGTTTGAGAGTAATACAATCCATCATAGCAGGGAAGGTATGCCAGGGAAGACTTGGCAGCTCTGTAGCCACAGAAGGGGATCAGCAGCCGGCTGCATGGCATTGGCAGAAAAAGTTGTGGGCCAGTGCTCAGTTGGCTTCTTCCTTTATACCCTTTTACTCAGTCAGGAGCCCCATTACATGGGATGGTGCTACCCACATTCAGGGTGCTACCCACATTCAGGGTCTATCTTCCTGCCTCAGTGTAACCTCTCTAGAAGCCCTCTCAAAGGCATGCCCAGAGGTATGTTTCAGGTAATTGAATCCACTCAAGATGGCAGTAAAGATTAAATCTTACTGAAAAGGACAGTAATTATTGATTTAATTCATTTCCTGACCCCATCTCTAGGACCTGTACAATCTGTCATTCATCCATTCATCCGAGTGCCCATTCATCCGCTGTCCAACTGGCTATTCATCCAGGCAACCCTTCATGCATTCTTCCACCCCATCATCATTTTGTGCATTCTGGGATACTGTCCTTTGAGTGTCTCTCTCCTCAAATGTGCATCTTACATCCAAATATCCACTGTGGTCCATCTATACATCCAAAATTCATTCATCCAGCTACAAAGTATTGAGTACCAACTTGGTAGGAATCACTTTGTTAAACTCTTGAGTTATAAAGTTGAAAGAGGAGACCATATATTTGCTCTGGGGGATCTTGTTATTGAGAAAACAGAAAGGTAAAGTAATGGCTAAAGCACAATGCCTAATGTAGAGTATCATGGGAACATATAGAAAGAAAGCCACCTCAAATAGAAACAAAACAAATGAAGATCAGGAGTGGTACCTGTCAGGGATTTAAAAGGTTGAGTGACTGTCATCCAGAGAAGAAAGAGGAAGAAAGTGTTTCAGAGAAAGGCATGTCTGGAGCCTGAAAAGATGTAGTTATCCAAGGGTAGCCAGCAGCTTAGTGAAACCAAAGCAAGCTTGTAAGGTGATGAGCCTTGAAATATCCTTGTGGAGTGTGCTAAACACTGACTGTGTCCTGAGAGGTTTAGAAAGAAGATGGATGTTTTAAGGTTCAGTATAGAGCTTGGGCATGAAAAGAGGAGACAAGAAATACTTAAAAAGGCATACGTGAATACAGTAGAAGAAAACATTTCATGCTAGTTCTAGTTTAGTCTTCCCTAGCACCACCTCCACCACTACCAAACACATAACTGCCCTGCTCACCTTGACATTTCTCTCAAGTTCTGAGAAAGTATGATCCTGCTGGTCTACCTCTCATGCAGTAAGAACCTTGACCAGCCTCACAGCAATCATGCCCATGATCTCAATTCAAAAGAAAAAGTACAAAGTTGCCTGTTTTGTTTTGTTTTTGTTTTTTGTTTTTGTTTTTTTTCCAAACTCCAGGATACTGGCATTTTAGTGATTGAAGAACAGGGCCCATGTTTTCACCAACATTCTTCTAGTCAGTGAAACAGGCTGTCGATTCTGTGAGATACACACTTCCCCTTTGCAGCACTAAATGTCACACCGTTTTGTCACATTTCTGTTTTTCCTCAAATTCATTATGAAATTCCTTCAGTCATCACTGAGCCTGCAGATCACCTACAAAGACACACTGTCATCTCATCAGAGACTCCTCAGAAAATGACAACAGAAAAGAAAAGGACAATGACTTTGTCCCACAGAGTAGAAAGTATCTCTCCCCTCAACTCTACCAATTGGTTGAATGGAATCCCTGGGAGCTGCATCTCTTTGTCACTAATTGTCTCTGAATCTTCAGATGAGTCATATATATTCTGTCTTCCATTTTCTCATCCTCAAAACAAGTTGGAAATGTGGACTAGAACAGAACAAGCTTTCAGGACTTGCCAGTGTTAGCCTTTAATGATATTATTGACCTGCTCCCATGAGCTAAATCATAAAATAGACTATATAGGATTAAACATTGGTAGTGTTGTAAGGATTGCAAGCTCTGCCATGTCGAATGTCATTTCTTCCAGTTCCTGGTCAAATATCTTTGGAAGCATTATATAATCATTCCATGCCTGGGGTCCTCATCTGTACAATTCATAATGATAACAACCTCACAGGTATATTGAAAGGATCATGTGCTATAGAAGAAGTTCAGTGGTAGAGATTTGCCTACTATGTTTGATAACCTGTGTGCAACACAAAAATGAATTAATGTACACAAAAAGGTTAGCATAGAAGATAGCATACTTTAAGGTTTCATAAATTTAAGTTACTATCATTATCACCTCATTGTAAATCCTAAGTCCCAGGACCTTTGTGGGGTTGGAACTTCATGAGCAAGAGAAGCCAATGAAAGCAGGGCTATTTCTGGGCCCTGAGCCTTTCTAATCCTTCTTAGAGGAGAAAATGAATCCCCACAGTTGTCCTGAAACTTCTGATGAAGCTTTTCCAGCTCTTTTCAAGTTCATCTTCTTCAATAGCCTTGTGACAAGATTCTTAAACAGAACCACTTGGCCCTGTATCCGTTGCAATTTACACCATTGCACTGCAGAAGCGGCTTCCTGGCAGCTCTTTCCCTCCTGTTAGAGGTTGGAGCTCTAATACTGAAGGGGCTCAGAGACCTGGGATCTCCACTTACCATTCCTTGACCTTGACCTGATGGTGTAGTTCAGTACATCTGGGTAGCATACACAATGCCCTGAGATTCCTCCCCAGCACTGCCATTAACAAACAAACAAATAATCAGTCAATCAATCAATAAATAAATCAGTGGAAACCTAACGATCTCTTTGAGCAAAGATAAATTATATGAGGAAGAAAACAAAACATTATACAGTTTGGAGCTCATCAAAATGCTAATTCATTGAAAATATACTAGCTAGCACTCATTACCATGGGCTGCCCAATAGTGTTCAATAACAGGAATTTAAAATTACCATTCAAGTTCAGTATTTGATATAGCCTGATTCTCACTTGCAATATGACCTTCAATTAACAATAGTGAAGGCAAACTTTTTCTGAGTAATTTTTTCAGACATAAATCAAAAGCAGATTCGACATTAGTTCATAATGGAAATGTCAACACACAGCTGGAGAGGTGACTGTGCTAGAAAAGGTAACCATGGAGCCTAGGCAATCAGCAGATGACAAGAGGCCAATGCCCCTCCCCTGAGGAGGATTAAAAGCTGACTGAGCCTCGGTGCACAGTCACACACCTGCTGGAGCCAGATGGCTTCAGATTTGATGGACATGAAGCAGCCATGGGTGCCTAAAGTTTGCTTGGTTGCTTGGTGCTGATGGATTAAATCAATGTTGCTGGAGCTCCTGGGGGTTGGATATGGGAGTGGAGTGGTCTCTCAAATTCAGGCCCAAGAGCCTCTTGGAAGACTGTGTTTCCAGAACCCAGGCATTAGCCAAAGGATGAGTGGTTTGGACAACTAGCGTATATAAAGGTTGATTTGGGATTTTATACCTCTGATTGTTAACATTGCATTCGATTTTGAGCAAGATACTTAAGCTCTATAAGCCTCAGTTTCCATACCTTAAGGGTGAGTATGGGGCATGAAAAAAAAAGTGTAAAGCTATTCCCTTCAAATGGGGTTGAAGTTCAAAGAGCCATAATTGGCTCTTCTATACATTGGGGGAAGAGGATAGTTTTTGTATGACCTCTTTTGACATCCCATGTACACTTCTAAATTTGACCCAATATATATAATCCTCTTGTAAAAGGAGTTTGGAATAAAGCAAAGGAAAAGGGGTGATCAGACAGGCTGTTGCCCCACCTCCCTGGCCCTCAGTTCCGCTGACCTTGGGCTCACAGGCTTATCCTATGCTTCCCACAGGTTTGACAACTCAATGGCTTCCCACCTGGGACTGCCTCCTTACGACCTGCCTTCTTATGCTGCAAATTACTCAGATGATTCCAAAACCTGGCGCCCTGTGGAAGTTTCTCGACTGGTCAGCAAGTACCAAAGTGAGATCTCTGACAGGAGAATCTGTGCCTCTGCATCAGCTCCGAAGACCTGTAGCATTGAACGAATCCTCCGGAAAACAGGGAGGTTCCAGAAATGGCTGCAGGCCAAGCGACTCACACCCGACCTGGTGCAGGTGAGTGTGGGCCTTGGGTAGAATGCAGGGTGGTGGCAGATACCTGCTCATACCTCAAAGCTCAGTCTAACACAATAATTCTCAACCTGTGAGGAGCGACCCCTTTGGGGTTTGAACGAGCCTTTGGCAAGAGTCACCTAAGACAATCAGGAAACCCAGATATATATATTATGATTCATACAGTAGCAAAATGACAGTTATGAAGTAGCAATGAAAATAATTTCATAGTTGGGGTCACCACAACATGAGGAACTGTATTGAAGGGTTATAGCGTTAGGAAGATTGGGAACCACTGGTCTAAGAAAAGGGGAAAATTGTGATCTACCTAAAGTGTGACAAAACAATCATAAAACAGAGGGGCTTGTGACAAGACAGGAACTAATCAAGACTTGCTTGAAAGGCTCTGTCCTATCATCTTCCACCACTCTTGTCTATGTGATCCTCAGTGATTATTTGCTAAATAGTCCCTAGCTGTCGCCTTTGAGCTGAAAGTTTGCCAGGATGACCCTTACCAGCCCACTCCCCTGAGAGGGTCAGACTCATGTGCCTGGATACATTCCCAACCCCCAGGTTTGGTGTGGTAAGCCTCTGTCTATAGAACCTCCCATATAAAGGCCCATGCATGATGGCACATGCCCATAATCCCAGTACTTGGGAGGAAAAGGAAAGAGGAGCATGTCACAAGTTGGAGGACAGTCTAAGCTACACAGTGAGTCTCTCTCTCTCTCTCTCTCTCTCTCTCTCTCTCTCTCTCTCTCTCTC